GTAAATAGAAAGAACATTCATATAAATCCAACAAATTCCACAACAAAGAAATGTATTAGTGAGAGAGGCACTAGCAGTTTTAGTTCACCTCGGAGAACATTACAACCTACTGAGTACGCTTCGCGAAATAAATGCGGGGATTCGCAATCATCAGTTCTAATTGAAAATGGAGCTGGAAGAAAAACGCCTATCACTAATATATTAGAAAAAGTAACATCTTTGGATAAGTTATGGAGTTCACAGAAAAGAAATGAACGACTAGACTTACCGAAACATACTGAAAAATATCCAAACAAAATCCCAGTTAACGCGTCTTTGAAACCAAATCCTAATAAACCTTCAGTTTTCGCGGGTAATAAGGTATTACCTAAAAATGTCACTCACAAGAGTAGAGACATGGTTCGTACATCTGAAAAAATACAAAAGCTCAAAGCTATTAATACCCTATCTAATACTAATGTTTCATTGAATGAAATCAACAAATCAAAATTACAACTTACAACAATGTCAAATATTTCAAAGTCAACTTCACATATTTCATCTGTTTCGAAGAAACCTAACAGTGTAAAAACAGCAGTTGTAACTAATCTAAAAAAGAAAAAAAATTCAGAAAGTGTTATTATAAAGCCAAGGAGTGTACCTTGTCATGAAGCATGTAATAAAAAATCAAAAGGTACTGTAACAAAAAAGGAAGGAAAAACAAAATTCGATAAGAAGAACGTTAAAATCTCTGTGAACCAGGAAGCTGTAGATTCAAGAAATCAATCGGGAAATGTTATGAGTGAACCTTGTAATCCAGTTAATTTGAGAGACATAACATATAAACGCATAAGTTCAAAGGAACTGGAAACAACCCGAGACTCAGTTCTATCTAATTCCTTTTTTCAACATCTTTTTCTAGGAAATCCATTTGTCCCTATAAAATCTGAAACGGAACAAAATACAAAAAACTCGGTTCTACAAAAAGCAAAACATTTTCAATCATTACCGCATGTAACCCAAAACTCACCTAACTCGTTAAATACATATTTAGTACATCGAAAGCCAGTTTCTCTTTCACGTTTTAAAATATGGGACAAACATTTTAGTCCAGTACGATTCACAGGACCTCGATCGGTTTCCTGGCCAGGTAAAATAGATGGTGAAATACACAAATGCCCAAGCTTGTCGAAATGGGACGGATTTGGATCAGTATCATCTTTATCAACCGTTCGAAGTAAAAGCGAGCCTCCTACAAATAAGATATATTTTTCTCAAACTTCAAGGCCTTTATCACCTAACGTTATTTTTCATAGAAAAGATGCGCCAGAAAATAAAATAAAGAGCACAGTAGAAGAGGTTACGCAACCCTCTTCTAAGACGCTTAACTTACAGTCAACTTCTCCTAAAAGCATATTTATTATTCCACAGCATTGTAAAACACTATCACCAAGTCGAGTTAATGTTGCTAGAAAATCAAAATCTGTTTGTTCCAAAAATGTGCAAAAGCCCATAAAAGTAAATAAATCTGAAGCTGGTACTTGTCCTACTACAATCTACTTTTCACCAACTTCAAGACCAACATCTCCAAAAGTCATGAAAAGCATTGCTTGTCGAAATAGGAGTCAATCAACATCACCAGTTGCTTTTAGGTCCCCCTCATACAGACGTATCCATAATGCTAGAATACTAAATAAACAAGTATCTGAAATTTCTCTTACAAAAGAATATAGAACTATAAGTGCCCACGAATATGAAAAAAAAGAACTTAATAAAAAAGATTCGTTTAGAACAAACAAGTACTTAAACTTATACGCGAATGATCCTGAATATTGCGAATATATTCAAGACATACACAACTGTAAACCTAAAACTGAAAGATTTCGAGAACTTAACAGATATTATACATATTTAGAACGAGTAGCTGAACTTGAAAAGGCTACATCTACTTGTGATTTACGACATAGAAGAAAAGATGAAGAAATCGTTGACTTTGATCGTTGGAAAAAAATACGAGCAATAGAAAGAGCCGAAGAAGAGCTAAATAATCTCTATCATAAATTAAAATTGGCACAGAGTGAGAATAATTTTCCTTTTTACCCAAAAGATGTAAATGATTTTCGATGGAATTCAGGTAAGGAACGAGGACTTAGAGTGAAAGAAAAATCTGTAGAAAACCTGAAAGAAGAATTTGAAAAAAAGCCTGACTTGGAATTAAGTGGTCAATTAAATCAGTCAAAAGATAATTATAAGCCTTTTTGGAGGGGGACTAGCGTTGCTGAAACCGCATTCAATATTAACAGAAAAAATCTAACTAATATTAATAAACATCATGCGACGGTAACGCCTACCATTACACTCCTACAAGATTCTTCACTCAGTGAACTACAGAAAAAAATAGGGTTAGGTAACGGTTTATGGAGCAGTTTATCCATCGAACAAGTAAATGCTTTAAAACATCAACTGAATGCAATATATAGTAGAGAAATAGAGACAAAAACAAATAAAGATAGTGATAAGTACTGTGTTGAAGTCAAAAATACAAATTGTTCAAAAAGACCAACATTGCACGTAAGGTGTAACTCTTTAGTAACACCCCCTACTGCTTCTAAAATTGGGCTCGAATTATATAAATCAGATTCCATAGCTGCAATTACTTGCGCGGTGCCATCGGTAAAAGAGTTAAAAAATAATGTTAATAAAATTCAAATGACTCTCAGTGAAATTGAAAAGAAAAAGATATCTCAATCATTGAGCAACGAAATCTTAAATAGAATAAACAAGAAAGAAAATGTTTTAACAACATCTTTCAAAAAAGATCACAATACTGATTCAAAAAATGTCCAGTTTGTATCACAAGATAACGATTTACTTGAAACTAAAGAAAATCAAAATTTAAATATGTGTGACACAGGAGTAAAAGAGAAAGCAGATGAGATAAAATTACATGTGTATCCAACAGATAAAAGTGAATCTAATTATTTGTCTTCAACTAGCGAGACAGAAACTGGAAGTTCAGATCTTTCTAACAAAACTGTCATTTTTAAAGGTCCAAGTAAAGAAGTTTTAAGAAAAGTCGAGTATTTTGAATCAGTTAACAATGTAGTAAATAAACCGAAAACCATATATCATGCAAGAGACAATTCTCATGAAAAAAATACAGTGCATTCAAATATAGCTTTTGATATTAAAAATAATGAACCGCAACTTAAACAAATATCGCAATCCCAGTCCTGTACTAATTTGAAAGAAATGTTTGGTGAATGTGAAAAAAATAAATTTTTATCTTTACCATCCAAACCTGACCTACATTCAAGATCGTCTTCGCTTTGTTCGGAAGTATGCATTAGCGATAGACGCACGCCTGACACGCTACGTTATTCAAGCGACGAGGCAATGTGGCGCAGTCGTACTCCATCGCCCGATGCAGAGCGATATTGGCGTACTTATATAAAACTGGCGCGAGCTGGAGAAGTACGTCGCATTGCACGACGTTTCGACTCACCATCAGCGGCAGGAGCAATACTACGCAGACACCAAAGTGATCCGGAAATTGCTCGAAATGGCCTTCATAATAACTGGTCCTCTATTGAAAGGATCTCGTCTCACCGAGATAAGTGTAGAGCCATACTACCAGTGTCTCGAGTCCCACTTCGTCCAAAAAATCGTTTTATGCCTCATATTGATATTATATCAAAGTTAGCAGTACTGTGTAGACGTTCTTCACCTAGATCTCGATCTGCTGAAGAAGCTTTAGAATGTCGACGCGGTGAAGTTGAGCGTATCAGACGTCGCTTCGAAGCAATGTCTCTTCTAGGTCCTATATATTCTTCTGCTCCTGATGTGCGTGAACTACATAATATTGCGCCATATCTAGCTTGCTCTTGGATTGCTCATCGATACCCAAAACCTAGTGACAACAACAGATCAATTAAAGATCCTTCAGTATTCGTAAAAGGCAGAAAATCGCCAATTAAAAAGGAAGCAAAACAGTCGGTATCAAAAGGAACTAATCTTAGCCTTAAATTAAAAAACGATTCTGTGGAACAACAAATATTTGATCCTTCGGTACACCGTCCAGCTAGTCGCTATGAGCCTCCTCGAACGCCTCCACGACCTCCGCCTGCTGCATGGCCCTACCGTTTGGCCCCCTTCGTCACGCCATCGCGGCTCACCGTCACATTTCAAGGTTATTAATACTTTATCAATTTGTATGTTTAAAATTGGAGTCAATATTTCTATTATTTGTGTTAATCCCAGTAAAATTCATTTTTATTAGCTTTAACCTTTCGTTTTTACCTGCAAATTTTGAATCTAATATATATTTAACTTTATTTTCTTTACTAATTTTAGACATTACATATATTATTATTTTGTTCATGTCATTCTATTTTATTAATTATGATAGAGACCGACTCAGCACCAGAGCCGCCACGCAGAATACCACACGGGAGTTATTCAGACACAGGCAAGTATAATTCCTACTAGTTGTATTATTTTAACAATGTTGTTGTTTTATTACATCAAGAGTCGTCACCATTCCTTTTCCTTCCGATACCAACTTCTCGCATAGAGAGAGGCGATGCAATTACAACTTAAAAATCTGTGTGAAAAAGAAAACAATGGTTCTGCTTAAAGCAATTACCGCCAAGATGCAAAAGTTATTCGTTTGAACGCAGGCGACATTATACGTAGTCTCAATTTTAAGTGAATGAGTATATTTTATTTATGAGGTCGCGATTATTTACTCTTAAAGTTATATTTACGTCACAGAGATTACCTCGGCTAAAACCTGTTCGCTCAGTTTTTTCATTCTTAAATAGTTTATCAAGCTTCCTGTTCACGAACGGTTTGTTATTGCGTTTATTTTTGTTACAAAGAAGCCAGTGATATCGACACGTTTTATCTTTAAGTGTTTAGTGATAAAGCTTTATCATGACTTTAGTTTAGCGTGAACAGCCGGGCCCGAGTATTGAATAAAAATCATGCTGAATTAGTATTTGGAATCCTTAACTTCCAAAATGAGTGAAAAATACAAAGCCGCTTATCTAACGTACGATGACGATGGGTTTTTCAGTGATGTGCCTACCTCGGGATCTCTATCAAAATCGTTAGTGGCATTAAATACATATGTGAAAAAAAATCTGTTGTATGACGACAGCGAAGAACCTCAAAATGATTCGTCATATTTTTCGAAGGAGACCAGTTCAAACGATTCTATTTCAAAATATGATTCGGATAGTGGGAAAAGTGTAGAGTTATCGGAAAAAAGAACCATTTTAACACCACTATCTGATATTGATGTGGTGCTAAACATTGTAAAGGTGCAGTCGGTAAGCGAAATAAAGAACACGAACATAAATAAAAATACTGAAGAATTGACTGATGATTACAAATACAAAAAATTATACGAAAATTCACACAAGAAATCAAATATTTTACCTGATGAGAAAGGAAAAAACAATATATCTTATAAAGAAAAACATCATTTTAGTATTAAAAATCAAGATCACTTACACGAGGACAATAATTCAACATCTGCTAAAAATATAAAAAGCTATGGCGAAAGTAGTAAGGATGATAATTATACAAGTGAAGTTGTCTTAAAAAGGAAATTAGATGATGCTAATGGCGAGTTAAAACGTCATACGATACATGACGTTTCAGAATGGGTTAATAGGACAAATGTTTACCCCGACGTTTACGCGCCTTTACCTTATAGTAAGTGCGTTTCTATTACTTGTCATTATTATTATATTAGCTAAGATCTCTACGGAAGCTATGGAGTGGGCTATGCTTATAGTTTCCCTGTGTGATAGAATCTCATTGAAGTTATCGAACCAGAGTAATCGATACAGATGGGCCAGTCAGATTATAGCCCAAGGCGCCGACAACCGGTAAACCTGAAGAATGGTTCTCAAATAATGAGAATTTAAAGCGAGAACCTATTAAATGGAGTTAGTATTTGATAAAACATGAAGTAAGTCAATGGACACAGGTTCTCAAGGACCGTATATTGGGACAATCTTTGGGTTCAGCAATGAACGTGTGATGGGCTGATTTTATGATGATCGTTATCATGATTAATTTGTTTATGAACCATTCACGACGTCTATAAGCTTCAATGGGTGTTTTTATAAGACATTTAATTTTTGTTTGCATGCCTATCATAATTTTCGATTTTCAACCGATTTTTAAAAAAATGCGGTTCTCAATTCGACTGTATTTTTATATGTTCTTTTTTAATTTGAAAGCTGGTGCTATTCGTGATGTGCTAGTTTTTGAGTTATCCTTAATAATGCATATTTAATTGACTCTGACTACATTGATGATGTTCTCATTTTATTTATATTGAAGTCGGTTCTATATTTTTTTTTAATTTTATACCACTTGTGTTCATATTTTGTGATAAAAGTATACCAATCTTTCATACATATTTTAAGATCGGTAAATTTTTTTATCCCAAGAAGTTACATTTATACAAGTAAAATTCAAAATCAAATGGTACTAATTGTTATCATTACGTAATATATGATATTAATTTGAATCTATTAGGACGCTGCTTATTGGTGAAGCAAAATAAGAGTTTTGAAGTTCATAAGATGGTGATGTTACGTATGCATGTAAACATAAGTCGACATAAGTTACTTGAGTAAACCAGTCGAGTAAAAGAAAGTGCAACTGATCTTAACAAAGCTGTCAAACGTCGTGGTCGCGCGGGGAGGCGCAGGACGCCTCTACTCCGTAGTGCTGTGCTTTACTGCGGACAATTAAAATTTTAATTTTAACTTAAAATAATTTCTCTAAAACTTGTGAAAACAGTTTCTAAATTAGTGTTTGAACTGCAATGGGAATTATAAAACAAATTAAAAAAATGACTACATACGGTTAGTTAAAAGGAGATTTTGATTGTCTCCCTGTTTATTTGATTTTATTATTAATTAAAAAATAAATTATTTTATGAAATAGTAAAGCAATCCTTATTAATGAAAATTTTACATGCCTATATATTATAATAATAACAATTTAGATCTTTTAGAAATTTCTTTAGAATTTTTTTATTGAATATAGGTTAATTATAAATAAAATTTAATAAGTTTAAATTATAAATAATACTTAACTTAGTATAATAATACTAAAAGTCACTCTTAAGCTTAATTTACCACTGGTTCGGAAAATATCTCTATTATTATCATCCATAAATTAGTTAATACTATAATAACCCTTTTCGTACAATCTCTATTTAATAAAGTTTTTAGAATTTGTGTAAGTTTTTAAACTTAATATTTAATTGTGTGTTTTTTATCAATAAATTTAGGTAAATATAAATATTCTTTAAGATAATAAAATTTTAAGTAAATCTACTAAACAAAACAATTATTTTATCAAAAATTCTTAGGTTTAGATATACATCGCAAAAGCTGTTTTTGTCAACATAAATCATAGGATATGCTTGACTAACAGGTTACGAAACTAAAACAGTTTTAGGTCACGTTATAATAAAATACATTTCTGTATTTTGCCAAATTCTACAAATTTTTAAGAATATTATCTAAGCATATCAAAGGATAATTCTAATATGTTTGCGTAAACTATTGTAAAATACACCCATACTTATTTTAAAAATAAAAAGCGAAATAAATAAAATTAAGTATTAGAATTTAAGTCTGTGTTTTCTTAAGTCTATGTTTTGTAATAAAGTTATTAATATCTATCTTCTCTTTAAAGTGAAAAATTTGTTAGTTATATTTACAAAACAATAATTAGCCACTAAAATAAAATAAAATAAACCAAATTTACAAAAAAAAATACACGCATTTTAAAATAATTATCTATATTTTGAAACAAACGCCGTATTTTATTAAATGTAACTTGAATTTTATATCAAATTCTTTTCAACAACTTAATAAAATCGGAAGTAAATATAATAAACAAGATAAGATATATCTAACTTTGATTAACAGGTCGAGAGTTAAGTAGATTCTAGAGCACGTAGTGTAACATTGCGTGAAGCGTGCCCCGAATGTCTGTTTGTTGTGAAAGTTGATGGAAACCAACAAAAATGCTAAAAAGGGCTTTCGTTTTCGTTAGGCCTTCGCAGCACGTCTCTCAGTCACAAATGTTTCGTGATTGAATTTCTTGTATCCATGTTATTTATCGTTAATTTGTTCAATGAAATGAAAACCAGTTTAACTGTGCCTACTACCTATTTTTTTATTTAGCTACATGTCACTTGTGTTATTTTTATGGTATTTCTATTTTTCATCACATTACACATTTTAAAGCATCGAAATTTTATCAAAACTTAAAGTACTTCTGTGTTGTAAATGTATCAAACTCTGTCTTATTTACTATTATACATCATATAATTGTTGGTATCGAAGTATTTTTCTTAATGGAGTTTTGCCATTTGTGTTATTACAATATATCTCTTAAAGTGAGATGTTATTTTTTTTTTGCGCCCAAAAGCAAAGTAAAGAGCTACCCTCCGGGAACCGGGGGAGGGAGGTAGTTAATGCTCTAAGCGTTGTCGTGAAGCGACAATTAAAAACTAAATAACCTAACCTAACTACAACAAAACAACCAAAAATAAAATAAATTATTTAAAAATTTGAAAAGATTTACAGTTTCTTTTATAAAAAAAGGTATGAAGGTGATGATGGGCTGTAATGATGATAGTGATTTACAATATTATTAAAAAAAAATAACAAAAATAAAGATACTGCAACGAAGTATGCACAGGCTATGCCTATGATAGGTGCACAGCGCCTGCTCTAGGTACACGCAGAATCTGGAGAAAGCACATGCAGCGTCTGGAGAAGGTACACGCAGCGCTTGGGGTAGGCACACGCAACGCCCGGAGCAGATACACGCAGCACCCGGAGTAGACACGCAGCGTCTGGAGTAGGAACACGCAGCGCTTGAGACAAACACGCTCAGCGGCCGAAGATAGCGCGGGCACTAATAGGTGGAGGCGTAGGCGTGGCTAGGCGACGACTTCAGGAGAAGGCTTGCAAGATCCCGAGGCAGTGCGGATAAAGCCTTTAAGAGGTGCTTCTCGTATCAAAGCTGAAGTGAGTCCCTCTATCGGCCGATTCTTCGGCTTTTATACCTTTTGACGGATCTGGGATAAGAACGAGAAATTATTTGAAATTATTTAAATTAAAAGCAAATTTTTGTAAATGGCCAAGAAGAAAAGAGTATTTTTGAAGTAAAAACATCAGGCCGGTAATAATATTTGAATAAAAATTGCCACGACAACCAGATAAACAACGATGTCAAAACATGTCAAATTTTGGTTTTAAGCTCGTAATACAGAAACGGCAAGATTTAAGTGAAAAATGAGATATTATTTATATAGGAAAAAAGGTAGCGCAAGAGCGCGCACGAAACCCGAAATTGTAGAGTTACGGAGAACTAAATAAAAGATCGAAAAAGGTAGACTCCATTGACACCGATTTAAAAAGTGCTGATAACGTGAAAATACGAAGTGAAAATGATTTGTTATTGTGTTCTTATGAATTAAAAATATTACAGGATCCTATGGAAATAAAGGTGATGCAAAATATCCAGTTTTGAGGTGAATGTAGAAAATCAAAAACAGAATGGAAAAATAAAAATAAAATAGTGTAAAATGATATGTAAGTATGTATGTAAGCATAACACTACATTTTCCCCCCGACCCTGGAAAATTTTTGACTCAGCAAAAATTTTGAGATGTACATTCCAAAATAAACCATAAAAACACAGCTTTGCAGTAACAGACATCACCAGGCAATATCAGATATACTATCTCTTACATTCATCATCTGCATTCAGGTAAGGGTGGAGTTCACATTCAATGACTACCACTCTAAAAGTGTGTTTTCGAAAGGACATTCAGGCTTATTTAAGGAGTTGTCATCCGCTCCTGCGTGGAAAAAAAACATTTTGAAAGGACATCCAGGCTTATTTAAGGAGTTGTCATCCGCTCTTGAGTGAAGATAAAGTTAAAGAAATTAATCTTAAGCAAGCTTTAGTCGCTATGACTTAAGTAAAGGTTAAGAACGGCCAGAGCGGTAGGGCTCAAAGCCAGAGATGAGCAACATCACTAAAAGTACATTTAGGCTTATTTAAGGAGTTGTCATCCGCTCCTGAGTGAAGATAAAGATAAAGAAATTAATCAGGTAATAATTATACATATATACAAACACATATACAAATATACAAACACATATACAAATATACAAACATATATACAAATGTAGTGTCATGCAAAACAGTATTGTCGTGAAGCGACAATTAAAAACTAAATAACCTAACCTAACTACAACAAAACAACCAAAAATAAAATAAATTATTTAAAAATTTGAAAAGATTTACAGTTTCTTTTATAAAAAAAGGTATGAAGGTGATGATGGGCTGTAATGATGATAGTGATTTACAATATTATTAAAAAAAAATAACAAAAATAAAGATACTGCAACGAAGTATGCACAGGCTATGCCTATGATAGGTGCACAGCGCCTGCTCTAGGTACACGCAGAATCTGGAGAAAGCACATGCAGCGTCTGGAGAAGGTACACGCAGCGCTTGGGGTAGGCACACGCAACGCCCGGAGCAGATACACGCAGCACCCGGAGTAGACACGCAGCGTCTGGAGTAGGAACACGCAGCGCTTGAGACAAACACGCTCAGCGGCCGAAGATAGCGCGGGCACTAATAGGTGGAGGCGTAGGCGT